AGTCAAAACAAAAAAAATGTTTTTATTAATTTTCCATTTCTTTATGAATTTTTCAAACCCTTACCCTATCCTAGCTATTTAATTTGAAACTACTGACACCCTAGGCGGGTCGGGGGTATTAGCGAGCCACGCTCACTTTTTCTCTTGTTTTATTCTTGTTTAATGATACCCCTGATCATTGGAGCACAGCTCCCGGTTAGATGAAATGTTATCGTGATTGTTAAGTTATGTCATAAGGCAGTTTGGGTTGTATACCCCTTATGGAGATGAGAAAGAAATTCGAGTAGACGCTGATACTGTGACCGGGTTAAGAATGTAGATCTTTATGGCGTGGATTTGACACAGTCCACGTGTACACCTTATTATTGGGTACAAAGTGTGAAGGCCGCTTGAAATTCATAATTATTTTGCTTTCCTTAAAAACAGTCGCTGTCACTGACAACGCTGTATAGATCTTGATACCGCTTTTCGACTTGCATTTACTGTTGCCACACTGGATAACACGCGAAGTGTTCTTGAACATCCTTCGATCGAAACTTTAACACTTTCAACTTTGACAGCTGTTTCCAACATTCATAAACCCGAGAACGCGTATTTGATTGATATCCGCAGAAGGGTGGTGAAGTAGACGTCGTTAAACACAGATGACATTCATCGTAAAGTGGAAAATCCCATAATCTATAAACTGTCGCATCCTGTAGTATTTCATGTCCCTAGGCTTGTTATATTTAGACGTCTACGCGTATATAACAGTCATCACGTCTGAGCCCTGGTGTTAGTAGAGAGTTGAGGTTAATAAGTAAGTGAGTGAGTGAGTATGGTTAAACGCCGCTTTTAGCAATATTCCAGCAATATCACGGCGGGGGACACCAGAAATGGGCTCCAAACATTGTACCCATGTCGGGAATCGAACCCGGGTCTTCGACGTGACATGGCTACCCGACCGCCCCAGGTGAGGTTAATAACGTCGCGTTCAAGATGATTGCACTTATATAACGACGTGCATGCACGTGTGTGTATGGGTGCGTGCGTGCATGCGTGCGTGTGTGTGTGTGCGTGCGTATACTAAACCGGACCGATGCAGTTTTTATAGTGCTAGCCCACTGAGATACCATACCACAGTTTGAACATGAATACCCCATCCAGATACAGTATACTGACCCCGAGCCGACCGGTCCTTGTTTTAGCCTCTTAATGGCGCTTTTCCGCCAGGCAGGGTAACAACAAGTACCATCTTTATCACATCTTTCGTATGACGCGGCCGGGATCGAACTCCTGACCTTCCGCACTCCGGGAGACGCTCTATCACGAGGCCACGAAGTGGTTAATTAACTATACATGACTTTGTAGTTCTTTGTTCGGTGTTCACATTGATCTCAGCAATATCGCAGCTACATGGTGGCGGTGTGTTTTTAATCGAGTCTGGACCAGACATTCAAATGATCGATATTTTGAGCAACGACCCACGATCCACAAAGTGTGGCCTCACAATGTGAGGGAGGTTGTTGGAGGTCCCGCCTTGTTAATGTTACTACCAAACCTACTCCAGGGGGCATATTCTTTCTGGGAACCTCACAGGAACACGCTTATGGTTGGGAATACTGTCTTTAGGGCTGGGGTGGTGGGGTTCCCTATTTTTAAGGCGTTGGCTAGTTACGCCGAATATCATGGTTCGATGCTCACAAAGTGTATAATATGCGAAAGGCATTTCTGGTGATTTCCCGTTGTAGTATTGCTGTAAATACTTCCAATTTGGCGTAAAACCACACTCACTCACTCTCAAGGAGCATGACATGGCTTACATATATGGTAGGGAACCTTTAAGGCGTCTTCTGAACATAGAAATTTCTTGCGTTATATTGTATACAGTTTACCTGTACTGAACACACGGTGCAGGTTATGCGCTGTCTTGCGCTGATTGGACATATGCCTAATGAGTGGAACGCAGTGGTGGAAAGACACTGCTTGGAATTCGATTCTACAATACTTTTGTCCTGTGGACAATAGACGAAAGCCTTGATAACAAAGATAAGTGATGATGATGAACATCATATGCACGAACGTTTATGTTTGTAAAACGTAACACCAAACGACATCCTATAGTTTGTACCTGCATCGTGCAGTAGCGCCACACACGTGCGTAGGGTGTCATTCCTGATTTGGATCTCTTTTGGCCGTTTTTTCTGTCAATCTTATTGATTCTGCTTATCATACAGTTGTGATTTACTTGATATCATTCATCGTTTGTGTTTGAACTAGTGATACGGTGTCTGCAACACGCAGAGCGTCTACGAGTTTTTAGTATGCTGTGTTTAGACGTCTATGGAACTGGTAACCACAAACCCATAATGTTGACGATCGCCCCGTTCAGGGCGTCCCAGGTCAACGACAAGAGTACAGGATCGATTGATTCAAACTCAGGCTCTACAAAATAGAGCTCAAACGGCGAATCAATTTGCTGCAAACTTTCATTAGGCTACTGGAGTTATGGGTCAGACGATTGTACATCGTCTACATGCAACTCATCACCGTGCTCGACGGCCGCCGAGTTGTGCCGCCCCTTACAAATCGTGATATTGCCAATTGATGTCACTGGTGTACACAACGTCGAGTAATTACGTGTCATCTTTTCAGATTCACTTTGCACTTCCTTGATAGGCGTGGTCGAAATGAACGTCAAGCCAATGTCATCCTGGATCCTGATTCCCCCACTGAACACGCCTGGGCATGATAGTCTGAATTGGCCAGCGTTGCAAGAGGAGTGGGCCAGACTCCCTCATATCGCCATTAGGAGACTCATACGCAATAAGCCTCATCGAGTGAAAGAAAGTTTGACAAATCGGGGCAGTACCACGCACTACTGATCGAACAACGTCAACTTTGAAATTTGTAACTCGCTGTTGTTCGCCTGCAAGGCTGCGTCCCTCAAGTGTTCCCGGAGACAACATGTATATCTTTTAACATAATGTTTGGAAGAAGAACATTAACATACATAAAATGCCTATATGAACACATTATACTTGTACATACACATAAATACAAAAAATACAAAAGCACAAATACACAAGAAAGTCTACATAAATAATTACACATACACATGTATATAGATACATATAAACACATACTTTATATATATATATACTACACTATATACATACATACATACATACATACATACATACATACATACATACATACATACATACATACATACATACATACATACATACATACATACATACATACACACATACATACATATAAACACATACTTTATATATATATATAATACACTATAAACATACATACATACATACATACATACATACATACATACATACATACATACATACATACATACATACATTGTACATACATACATACATACATACATACATACATACATACATACATACATACATACATACATACATTACATACATACATACATACATACATACATACATACATACATACATACAGAGGTTATCACGCGAGTGTGTTTGGGGATGGTAAATATCCTACATTAGGAATAAACATTGTATTTAGCGAGCCATGGCGAGCTAAATACATAGTGTTTATTCTTATACAACATATTTATTTAAAACTTATAAAATGCCTTAGCTACGTCACAGTTAGACACGGCTTTTCAGTATGTTAGACTGTCCTTTTGATAATGATAGTAATTATCCCTGTAGTTTATCCAGGTTCCCGATGGTTAATTCGTCACCGAATGACGAGGGCGACGCCATGTTTGTTTGTTTATAAACAGTGAAAGTAGTCCCTACTTGACCTTTGACATTTGCATCTCTATCCGCATATGACCCCAACGGATATCGTTTTTATCCGTTGGCTTTATCCTGCCGAGAAACCTACCCATTATATGATAAATACACATACATACACACATACACAAACATATACAGACATACACATACTCGTATATATTATGCTTACAGACAGAGGCAGACATACGACTATATTCATATCAATGCATGCAGTTTAATGACTAATGTCGTAATTAATAGGAAGTGGTCGCAGAGCGATATTATAGGTTTACCCCCACTGTGCCCACTTTTGAATTTGGATCTTTTAACAACAAATGGTTAAGGGATTAGGCCGCATCACTATCAGGGTCCGGGTTCGATTCCCGACATGGGTACAATGTGTGAAGCCCATTTCTGGTATCCCCCGCCGTGATATTGCTGGAATATTGCTAAAAGCGGCGTAAAACCATACTCACTCACTCACTATCAGGGTCGCAGTGCCCACTATGCCACAGTGCATGTATAGACCCATGAATATACTAGTATATTGAAATAAGCATACACAAGAATCTAAATAATGATTTATTATTGGCAAAATAAAAACATATTGTACAACAATCCAAGCACAATTATGTGTACAAAACCATTCTACATGTACAATTATGTGTACAAAATCATGATACATATACATGTTGTTTCCTTAATTTCATGATATGCACAGAATCAGCAAACTGTTGAATGGTCTTGGTGCCATTCTGCAGGTGGTGCTTCTCTATCTGCAGTCATCAAGTTTTCTGTACTTTCGATTTCTTGGACGAATTTTCCGACCCAACTTCTGCACATTTCGCCAAATGCACTGTCCAAAGTGGAAATAACAGCCCTTGCATCGTCAGCAACGTGGTTATGGATGTTCTTATAAGCTGTGATCACGCCGTTGTAGGTGTTGAGTGTGGCGTGACAGGTTTTCCTACAGCATCGCCAGTAGGAATGTAACTTAATGCTACTTGTGCGTTTGCCATGACTGCACTGCCAAATTAGGGGATTCATCACGTATATATATATATGTAACTGGTTGACACCAATAACTCATAACTAAATATTTTCAATCAAATCAATTATGGAAGCAAATTTCATATAATTATAAATTAGTGAACAAATTTCACAGACAGACATAAAGACAGTTTATTATAGTCTCACCTCATTACAATGATTTATACATACTTTTAAAATACAAAACTTTATATCTCAAATACATATCATATGTAAAAGTATACAAGTATAAAATGTAACGAGCCACCCTATACAGGGTTACGAGAGACTTTTCATTAAAAGAGCATATTAACATATAAATAAAAGGTACATAAACTACAACGCATATAAAAGTAAAACCGTGAATTAAGAATAAAGGCAATCATATCTTTTAGGTAAAATGTTACAGCAGGTTTTGGCACTTAAATATATCACATCTTGGGAAGACAGGATATAAAACTGGCTTATCTCGGATCATCGAAATTCTTAAAATCATCTTCAACATCGCAACATTTTCTTAACAGTTCTTATCTTTCGGTTTCATAGTTAGGACATCTTAGTAATACGTGCTCTTCGTCTTCTATACCATCAGCACAAAATGGACATATTCTTTCATCTGGGGGCGTGTTTGTGTAGCGTCCAGTCTCTACTTTGAGGGGCGCCACCCCACTCCTGAACTTGGCTAAAGCCGACCTGTATCTCCTCGGCATAGGGGTTCGAACATAATACTCCGTTTCGTAACCTTCCTTGAAACTGTTGTATGTTCTTAGCTTATTTCCGCCGATTCCTCTCTATCCTTCCCGTTGTGAAACCTCGTTCCTCCAATTTTCTTTAAATTGCTGCACAAATTGCTGCTTTCACTTATCACCGCAGTGCCCACTGTACAGGTGAGAACATTTTAGATGATACGGTCCCCCACTTAATCCCTAATCCCCCCATTGTCTTCCCCATGTTGTTTTAGGACCAAAAACCAAAAGTGGGCACAGTGGGGGGACACCGTATTATATACCTATGGCAAAGAGTTGTCCGAATCTATTAGTCGACAAAATGTGTTTTTGAACGCTGTTGAATATGTGACTAAAAATGAGAATGAATGTCTGACCTCACTGTGTGCGTGGTCGTGCTTTCAGTCACAAGGTTTCCTGGTCCAGACTTCTTATTCACAAGCCACTTCATTTACGTCGCTGGAACCATTCATTCATTCACTCACACACACACTTTCAGCACTGAATCCGATGTGTCAACATATTAACCTTATTTCAGATGCGATTTTCATCCCAGGTTAAGCTGACCCGTCGATGCTCTTTTTTCAATCGGGTGACACTCCGATATATATAATTGAACCCAATATATTGTAAGACACATTCTCCTTTTTATATAGCTCGAATCCCTTTGCCAGATACTTTTCCGATGATGAAACACTGCAAAAAAACAACATACGGTCGTGTACGTGTGTAACTATTCACATTTTGTCTTCCTGAACAAACTGCTGTAGATACTGTTATTGTTGTCTGTCGTGTTTTCTTTATTGTTTCATAGCCAGATGGTGTGCTCTCACCAGCTGCCGTAATGGCTTGTCAACCACGTATGAATTGACTGAACAATTGACACCTCAACATGTACTTGTCGTGGCAGTCCTAGCCACACTAAAGACACACAACATCCGTCGAAAGGTAGGTAAAACTTCAGCAGAGATCGCTACGTTGGAAGGAAGGAATGTAATTCTATTTTTGCGTACTTATTATAATCAAACTTTCATTTTGTTATTTGTTGCGGTTTAAATATGGCGACTTATCTTATATTTACCTCGCTGAATACAAATGGATATTATTCATTGTAAACATAACATCAAATCATTAAAATGTATGATAACTTTAAACTTTCTTACCGTGTGTATTGCTGTTGTTTATGCCTAAATACCATTTCGATGAATTGGAACACATTTCCCTTTATTAATGTTGGTTATTCAGGTATATCTCCAACAAAACTATTATCAGTCTCTCTACTCTCAAGCTTTTTCAAGTTTTACAAACAAAATCGTTCTCAGGACAAGTTGGATGTTCTGAAAACCATATTGTGTTGAGGGTTAAAAAAAGGTTGACAAGCGCAAAAACGCGTTTTTACAGAATCGCATTTTATGAAAATACTTTTATATATTCTTCAAATTAAACTTTAGGGCCTCTTGGATAGAAGGAATATCAGTCTTGCTTGACAACGGTATAAGGATCTATACCGAAACGTCGCTTTTTACAGTATTAAAGAAGTTGTTATCCATAAAATTGTGTCTATCTTGTCATCCGCCAACTTCTAAGTAATGCCTATCAAACAAGTTAGAAGGAATATTGATAAGAAATGTAAGGCATGCTAATGCAGCCGGTACTTCATAAATATCTTACAACCCATTGGGGCTTTCGGATCTGACTAGGCGTGTCGCCATTGCGGAATAAACTGGAGATCGGTTGTTACAAAGAGACATGGCTGATTGTGTCAACGTACTCCCATGACGTGTATGCTGATCTGGATCCCGTTCCAGGCTCGATCCTTTAACGCTTGACCAAAACATCACAAACGTTATCATAACGTTTCTGACGCCATTACCCTTGAGAATAAATAAAAAAAGGCGCCCAACTCAAGTATTGAATGATTTGGCAAGTACAAGTTGCCTCAACTCTAGGAAGGGCTCCACTTGGATTATTTTTTTCATATTTACTTGATTTCGCTTTTTAAATAAGAGTATTTTATTTCTGTATTTAACTGTCAGTCTAAGGTTCAGAACAAACCAAGGTATCCTTATCAAATACATCATCATCGAATAACCATTTCTTGTTTGTTTCATTTCTTGCCACCGTGAATGTATCCTTCCTTTTTAACGGCAGTTTAATAGAATTGCACAATTTAGCATTCTATCAAAATATAAATATTTAGAGAATAAGCAACGAACTACTAGGAATTCTGTCCCGAGTGAATTAAGTTTGTACAACTTACGAGGGACCGATAATCAGAAATTCAGAGTTGCGAGTATGCTATTCTTTATATTGTCCATATTTTTCTCTCGAGGAAATGTAGAGCAGTGTGGGTTTCTGATTTCAGGTTGAGATATCATAGCAATTATTCTATTATTGGAACCCGTGAAGATTCCGGGGTAGAAGTGGTCTTCAGCAACCCATACTTGCCGTAAAAGGCGACTATGCTTGTCGTAAAAGGCGACTAACGGGATCGGGTGGTCAGGCTTGCTGACTTGGTTGATACATGTCATCGATCCCAAATGCGTGGATCGATGCTCATGCTGTCAATCACTGGATTGTCTGGTCCAGACTCGATTATTTACAGACCGCCGTCATATAGCTGGAATATTGCTGAGTGCGGCGTTAAACAACAAACAAACAAACAAAATCTATTATTGGAATGGCGTCATCTTTAATCTGTGACGTCATGAACACTTATTTGTGACAGCGCATTCATATGACGTCACGTTGGTATGGGTCTCTTCGCAAACAATGAAAGAAATGACGTTAGTTGGTTGGTTTGTTGTTTTACGCCGCACTGTAAATAATCGAGTCTGGACCAGACAATCCAGTGATTGATATCACTAGCATCGATCCACGCAATTGGGATACGATGACATACTTCAACCAAGTCAGCGAGCCTGACCACCCGATCCCGTTAGTCGCCTTTTACGGCAAGCATGGGTTGCTGAAGACCTATTCTACCCCGGATCTTCACGGGTCAGTAATGAAGTAATTAGAATGAACGAACCAATCAGCAATAAATTGAGAATTTAGTCTGAAGTTTGACGTTCGTGATTCCAAGCCTGCCACTTTGTATTTAGAATATTGAGGTTAATTTTGCTGTGAAGGGATAATCACAGAAAAAACTTTAAAAAGTAATTGGTTTGTTGAACTGACATTTTAAGTACGCGCGGACCAATTAGTAGGCGAGTTAAGTGGCCCAGCTCTGCACGTCATGTGTTGTATTTCCTGGTTAACTTCGCCGGACAACAACACGTTATCTTACCTCACGCGTGCGTGTCAAACCCTGCCTCTATCCACATACTCCCTCTGCTAAATATAGCCATTAACTGCTCCTTAGATATTTGGTTGGGGAGGCTGTGGTTTAGATCCTTTCGCGGGGCATGTTTTATGTCCTGTTCAAATATATGCTGTGAAATACATAACAGTGTTAGGACACTTCTTACAAAATTCTGTCTGTAACAAGGGGGCACGGGTGGCCAAGTCGTCTGAGGCGCCGCAATTCGCTGTGCAGAGTTGCGTCCCTTGGGCACGCCAGAAACCTATAATTGGGGTTCGAATCCCGGTTCGCCCCGATTTTCTTTTGTAGGTTTGTCAGCACCATACCCGTGCTCGTGGGTTTCACCGAAGTGGTAAACGTCTGAGACCTGCATCACTTCGGGCTTTCCTCCCATGCTAAATGCTACAGTTATCTCCAATCATAATTTTAATATTGATATTTCACTTGAGTGAAATAGCATGTAACGTGCTAAGTTGACATGATCTTAATGGTTGTGTTCGTCTTTGATATTTGATATTTTGAAAGAGAAATTAATTTATAACAAATAATTAGGCTACAATTAAATTGGTGGAATAATATACACAAGTCATATAAAGAGTGAGTGTGAGTGAGTATGGCTTTATCACGGCGGACGACACCAGAAATGGGCTTCACAGAGTCACTCAGGAGTTAGAAATATTATTTTGAGAGAAAGACAAATATCCTGTATGTATTGTCTCACAGATTTATTTAGTTGGTTTGTTGTTTAACGCCGCACTCAGCAATATTCCAGATATATGACGGCGGTCTGTAAATAATCGAGTCTGGACCAGACAATCCAGTGATTGACATCATGAGCATCGATCCACGCAATTGGGATCGATGACATGTATCAACCAAGTCAGCGAGCCTGACCACCCGATCCCGTTAGTCGCCTTTTACGACAAGCATAGTCGCGATTTACGGCAAACATGGGTTGCTGAAGACCTATTCCACCCCGGAATCTTCACGGGTCCTCACAGATTTAAGGACGGTGGGTAGCCTAGTGGTTACAGCGTTCGCACGTCACGCAGAAGGCCCGATTTCCATTCCCCACATGGGTACAATGTGTGGAGCCCATTTCATTACTTTTAAAAAGCACCGTAAACCTATACCTACTCACTTATATATTTTAAGTATCATGCACTCAGTGACATGTATGGTGTTTATAAGGCCGAGAGAAGATAGTTGTTTTACATACATGAAACATCGATTTTATACGTCAGAAAATATACATGTACCTCATCACTCAAATACACAATACATTTAAGAAATAAAATATATCTAGACATCATATGTTATCTGATTTATGATAGTTAGGCCCCGAATTGTTTTAGTTAGATCACGAGAACGATGCCTGGCATATTTCTATTTTAGCCCGTATTTGATTTTAATTGATTTTATAAGATTTTATCACTATTGCATATCCACAAACAGGGCCGTTTAGCATTTTTGAGGAATGTTGAGATGATTCTGCCGCTGCGGATGCTCGCACGGTGGGGCGGGATGGTTCACGCGACAGCGCACGGTACTATCTGTTGTCTCGTAGATGATGGGAGACGCCTTTGATCTCACCCCAACCATGAGTGTCATCTGATAAATCACCGAGTGTTTGAATTATAAATAGGACATGATGCTTTCAGGAACAATTTCACAACAACAAACTATCCGGATTCTCTGGTCAACGTCTGTGATTGAGTAATTACAGTGAAACCTCGTTAAATCGGACGACTTCGTTCTCTGTTAAAGCGTGCGGATTATCGACTCATGGATTATCATTTATATCCCTTTTCTATACAAAGACGCCCCAATAGTAAGTGTACGGAATACGCGGTTTCCGTATCCGGATTAACGAGGTTCTAGAATTTTGCCGCTAATCGCGGCTAGGTCAACGTCAGCGTATCCAAAGTAAGTCGTGATTGCTTTTTTTATCACATCTTTCTAATATACATGTCAGTCACGGTGTGAAAGCTTAATGAGAAACGACGGACGTGGACGTTAACGTTTAGATAATACTTGCGAGCTCTGGTAGCATCATGATAGATCAAGAATCAATATATGAGGTTGCAAATATTTTAAGTTTATGCAGTATATGGTATGGGAATATATTTCATGAAGAGCCTTGTCAATGTTTAGATTGTGAAGTCTGTTGTGTTTATGACTAAATCATTGCGTTATCGATGTATTCGTTTACACTACCTCCACAACTGTTCATTGCAGGCATCCTGCTGCCTCTTTATAACGCCAATAGGCCCTGTACATCGTCTACTGGTTTTAGCGTTATAAGTTTGGAGGGAAGCGTGAGTTATATAGATCACGAGCACGAGCATATGATGATAATCGGCGTGAATTCAGGACTCGAACATTCCTCATACACAAATACCAGCAAAACAAATTGACGATGGTCAGATAGGTACACAGGCACAGCTGTGATGAACATGTGGATTTTGCAGTGTGTTTTGAGTAGAAATAGCTTATTCCATAATTAATTATGTCCTGTTGGACACATTGACAATTGATTTCCCGATGAAACTTTAAAACATTAATTTTGGTCTAAATACCACATTTTTATTAGATTTTGTTTTTCCGACTGACTCTCAAAGAAATCAGATATCAGGTCAGAGAGGTCCCCACTGCATACAACCTGCTGTCAAAGGAGTCGACAAACATGATGAACGATCTGTCTCGCAGATCGTGTGTTATTGGACCACGCTGGTGTGGTTCGTTGCACATGTTATATTTTGACTGGACTATTTGAGTTGAGTGATTTTGTGATAAAGTTGGAATATTGCTGACTGCAGTGTAACACATACCCCCTCCCGTATGAGTTCCCCCAAACAGCTATCTTACATGTTATGATCTTGATCCAACAAAGTATCACTGATTAGGCTAACGTCTCAACTTCACACAAGGTATTGTCTACTATGCCTTAACAACGACTTGAATGACCATCAGACCGAGGAGAGCCGTGCAGGATTTAAGCTTTCTCAGTCACGCTAAAGACATGGAGTGCATTTATTAAGCCTACATAGCGTTTCGGTGCTTCAGCGTGATATTACTGTAATATTTAGGCTGTAAATGTACTGTTTTCAGTGTAAAGACCGTCTCACTGTAAATTGGACCACAAATCGAACCGAAAGCGAAGGAAGCCTTGCAATATTTAGTTCTAAACAGCTCTTTACTATTATGACGTCACACAGCTCAAAGTGGCGCAAAAGGTGTCGGTGAATGTTGGTTGGTTGGTTTGTTGTTTAACGCCGCACTCAACAATATTCCAGCTATATGACGGCGGTCTATAGATAATCAAGTCTGCACCAGACAATCCAGTGATTGATATCATGAGCATCGATCCACGCAATTGGATCCCATACAAATCATCATAACGTCATGGCATTCCAAAGTGACGTCATTGGTTTCTGGCGTGCCCAAGGGACGCAACTCTGCACAGCGAATCGCGGTGCCTTAGACAACTGGGCCACCCGTGCCCCTCATTCTCCGAAAGGAAAAAGATGCAATTGGTGATAGTACTCATGTCTTCCTCAAAGTTACATGCCACTCCATAATATATTTGTATTCACGACCAACCTACATGTAACTCCCCAATACTCCAATCCCTGTCACGTCACTGACGTTAGAGACTACACGTTTCAATAACCTATTTAAGTGATATATGTATATGGAAGAAGATAACATATAGACACTGGCGATAACTATCAATGTATGATACAAAATACCCACTCACGCTAAACATCTCAAACAGATATAAGATCGTATGTCATTGGGTAGGGAAGGGGTGAGTATTGTTGAACACGTGTCACATATGACTTTTGAAATATATCATTTTGTATATGTTATCAAAGTATTCCCCATATATATATTCTGTAACATTACTTAATATTTCCATCAACTTAGGAGATATATCTAAGTATGCTCTATTGATTTCCTTTCACCTGTGCGTGTGAAAGCCCATCCTGTACATGCAAACATATTCAACAATACATATCATGCCTTTCAACATACAAGAAAAGTGTCATAGGAACGTCTCGATATCCGTCGTCGAGACCAGCAAGCCACGTTAACGTTCTACAGCCACACGTATTTAGCAGTTGTGGACATGCCAGGTAGGTCCTTATACACTATTGTGTAATAGAACAATTTAGAGTGATCTTCTCAAATACACATTCATAAAACTTCACGTTGGTTCTTAACAATGGCTGTAATTTAGTTTCCAGATAAGGAAATCGGAGATTAACTTCTGTGATATGAGATTGTGTACAGCGATTTACATTTTAAGGAATGTGAAAAACAACAGTTTTTTTCAGGTTTTATTATTACACGTAGATGCCACGATTTCATAATTAGACCTTACATGCCTGCATGGCTGGAGGTTACTATGACTTTGTTAGATAGTAACAACCTGGTTTTTTATATAAAGGGAGTGGAAAGCAGAATAGTAGAAATGACGGAAGAGAAAAGGGGAAGGAAAGGGATAGTGGTAGACGGGGAGGTGATAAGTTTGATCAAACATGTTACTGAACGAGAGGGGTGTCGCAAAACAGCGTATCCCATTTGGACAGACAAAAATGATCTGCACCAAATACTATTCTGAGTTCAATGGATAAATCACTATCAAAGAGTGATGATACCAGGTATTCGTGAAAATGTGACCGTATTATGCTCTACCAGTGGCACCCGTCACAAACAAAGCAAAGGCAAGTCAATCGTTTATCTGAATAATATGGAAACATATAGAACAAATCAAAATAGGGAATTGCATCGGACATCTTTCACTGTTGCGTCAAATTTGGAAATATCCTCCACATGTCAACAATAAACGTTTTGAAAGCTTCACTGAGGCCTTGAATGTTGGAATCTTGTTCAAAAACCTTTGAGCAAGAGTCGTATTATGCTCTTTGAATGTTTTGTCGAAAGAGCACGCTTGATTGTACCGCAACAGTTGTGAGTGCAGACACCTAAGGCTTGATCTGCTGGAATATTGCTCGACATAAAGGGAAAGCTATTAGAAACTCGAACCCATCCCTCCTGTCATACAGCCTTGTGGATAGTTTTGTGTTACTCTGAATCTTTATGCCTAGATCTAAACATGAAACAGACGAGGCAGTATCACTTTCCCTCAAATGTGGACTAATTTTCGCCTGAAGTTTGAGGCATGGTTAAATCTGGCCTTAGGTTAAATATGGTATTTCCATCTCTCATTCTCTCGTTCATGCCCTTGCTCAGGGAATATAATAAATATTGGCGCCCGCGTCAAGATCAGACATTTTAAATGTACGATACTGATGATATGGTCTGTTTGTTATCTTGGATCTGAAAGGTTTCGTTTCTTCTTACTCACGATCATTTGCGGAGCGAACATGGTGTATTGATTTTCAACTTCACAACCCCGAAAATCTCTCTAAATGATTTATGATCTTCACCTTCAACATCATTATGCAATCCTACGTTCAAGTATTTATTACATCTCGCAGCAGAACCAAAGTCAATACGCTGTCCGTTACATATTGATCTTTCCATTTGCCTACTCCAATCAAGTCAATTTAATGTGAATTCAATGCAGCATTAAAGACAGATGTGTTAGTTTCCATAGGCATATCTTCGTGAAACTGTGTAAACTTAATATACCTGTAGGCACAGCTTGACTTCTCAACAGAGACACCATACAGCCATGCCAGGTCAGTCTGTCATGATTAGATGTGGAGTTGATTTCTCATTTATGGTAATGTAATCTATCGTCTTATGTTGGGTTGTCTCCTTCTTTCTTCTGGTACTTACATTTTGCAAGATGACAATGTCCCAAACATATCTTTTCAAGGAGGTTCCAGTCGTCTAAGAGACCTATTTCAAAGTGTTGCGTCCTTTGGGTGTGCCAGAAGCCTATGATCGTGGGTTCAAATCGCAGATTCACCCCAATTAAGATATTTATTCAATTACACCCACGCTCGTGGGTTTCACCTAAAAGGTACAAGTCTACAACTCACTTTCCTCCCACTTCAAGCTGACACACCGTGACAGAACTGAAATAATGTTAAATCCAAGCAACTCATTCATTCTATATATACATAGGGACTGTATTTTACCTTTTGTAGAATCAAAGATCTCAGGGCTTGCAGGAATGACCCTGAAGAAGAAGACACTGGTTCTAGCGGTTTTCAGCACGGTGGCAATGGTTGTGTTTTTGCTGATATCAAATCAAAGGCAGATGCAAAATGTGTCACAGCGAATCTTGGCACAAGTTTCACAAAACATAGCTCCAGTTATCATTGCCACGTCTAGATCTGATACCAAGGATGGATACGTGTTTGAATCGAAATGGACATATGAATATACATCGTCGTTATGTAAAGGAGCGTCCATCCCCCTCATGTCAGAGGATCTCCTTTGCAAGGTAAGCTGCATTTTTTAGCACATGCATAATACTTTAAAATCATTTAGGCTGCAATATATTTTCTACAGAAGTATCATGATGGATGAACTCCATGGTGACTATTTACTTAGATTATTGTGTACTATGTATCCAAAATACTTTGAGGTGGTATTTTCGAACATCAAAATGATAAATCTAAGAAAAGAAATTGAACTGTTAATGACGGTTATGTAAGTTGTCAACATCCCTCGTTCTTGGGTTGCAATTATAAGGGTCAAACAGTATCAAACTGGTATTCTCTTGACACTTTTTGTTACAGAAAAGACCTGAGTTTCTGTCTGGCTACAAGAACCCATGCTGGAAGGAGACTACAAAGGAAGGCAAAGAGACTGTCAGGTGTATGCCATACTTTCATCTTTTAGGAGCTGATAAATGTGGCTCCACGGATCTCTTTGACAGGATCTTGCAACATCCAGAAATGGAGCCGGCTGGATGTGGATTATTCAAGGAATGTTACTACTGGTGTTGGACGAGATATGGTAAGAACGTGATAATTTGTGAGAGTGCTGAATAAATGTTGCAGACATATTTTTAATCAAGAAGATGTGCACTTAAACCACTCGCCTAATCATGCTCAAAAAGTAAAAGTAATTTCAGAGCAGAATAACAGCCACAGACGCAAATATACAATTCCTGTGTTGAGAAAGTACTTTTTAGTTGTTGAGGACATGCTATATAAGTACCATTGTTTTTAGTGAATTTTAGGGTATTCAATAAAGCCTGTGAAAGAAAACCGTTTCAAATCAGGATTATATTTGTATATCTGGCCTACTTCCAAAATGAATGGATGATCTTTTGATATTAAATATTTTATCACTGGTCCTTAAAAGTCATAAAATGTTATTCATTTATCAATGAGTGCTAATAAATTGTATGTCAAAAGACAGGGGGTGGTCCAATTTTATGTCCAATATCGTTCAGGATGATGATTTAATTATGATTGTTTTTATTATAAATTAACGTTTTGAAGCTATAAAAATACGACGGAGTATTAGAGAATCTCACCCTCGTATCAAATAAATCAACACGAGTCGATTATTGTTTTAAACTTTTATTGACGAGTGTTGATATGTTTGATATCAAAAAGACTTTCGTTTATAACCCAACATCATTCTTCCAAAAAAGATTCAGTCTGTAAAGCGTAATAAGCAATGTCTTGAGTGTAAGAGTACTTTACATTAGCTTCATTAGCCGAGAGATTAGTGATGGCGTGGTAACCGATGACGTCTGTAAAGCATTTTGATGCAATTTCATGGAAATTCAGCTAGGAGATATCTTTTTGAGGCCAATTTTGGATGATAAATAATACTATATATGCGTGCATAAAAATTACAAAGACAAGTTGCATTTGGATATATAATGCATAATATGCAAAATAATAATTGTATTTCCTTTTAAAAGTTTTAATATGTCTATTGATAAATTTACCACCGCAACAAGAGAGTTTTTGGTTTGTTGATTTATTTTGTTTATTTTTTTAAGTGGGGCGTTGGTAGGAGACACAACACATTTAATTGACCTGTAATTGTGATTTGTAACACGTTTAAAGAAATATGGTGAACATTTTGTTTTACTAGATGTATATACAAGATATAGGGCTGTTGTCCTTTCGTTTGCATAATTAAGTTCACAATTAACAAACGACACGATATGTTCAGAAAATGTCATTGATCCGTGCACCCTATACGATTCGGAAGACCCGTGGTGATCATTTTGATTTAGCAGCTATTTTTGGTATTCTTGAAAGAGATGTATTTCTATGTCAATTACAGGTGTGTGGATGAAAAATAACTCGGTGCCTACAAGGAAAACGTTTGAAGCGTATCTGGCACATTTCAAACAAGCCTCGAGCAGTATACATTTGCGTGAGGTTGACGGATATCATTCTCACATTACAGGTAAGGCATTACACTAAAGAATGCGTCGCACACACGTTGGAGAGCGTGATGAGAGAGAGTAATTATGATGTGATAATACTCATTTATATGCGATGTAATCAGTTGCTTTGTGATTTGTTCTCTTTATTAATTTATTACACACAAACCAAAGAAGTATGGGTATCATAAGTGTCAAGTTTTGAATTTGACATGGCATGTGCGATAGAAATACCAAATAGTGTAAACTTTTCGGCAGAATAATTTCGTTGTGGTATCTTTAGTTGCCGTATTAGTAATATTGGGTAAGCAGAAACATATGGCACAGCACTCGGCAACTCAAGACACCATAACTAGTAATATCTTGATGCAGTGACGGAATACACTGTCTCTAAAACCCCAGAATAGTTAATAGTCGGCTCCTTTGTCAACTCCTTCAGCCCTCCTGGCGAAACATGCTTTCCGACAAAATTCGATAAAATTCACTTGAGTGTCAAAGCAAAAAAGTAGTTTCGTCCTTCCCGGCAGCTTGACTCCTGAGAGTTCTAGGGCGTCGGTCCAGCCCCACACTGACAAAAAAAAGAACATGTGTTTCTGTAGCCAAGTGACTTTGTTCGAAAGGTGCCTCTGTTCACTTAGCAGTGAATGGGTACCCTGTGGGCTGTTCACCTTCTTGTGCCTCACAGGCAGCTTTGTTTGTATACTCCCAAGGGAGCAGAGAAAGAAAACAATGAAGTACACACTGATCCACTAGCCGGGGTAATAATGTTAGCGTTTCGAGCATACACCTTGTGTAGGGAGTTTAGCGCAATATAAGTACACACATGAGTATTATCTATGTACATCGAATAAGGGTTCTGGGTAACGTAGATGTCCATTCGTGACAAATAATGGATCGTTTAAGCAATATAGTTACGTCACAGATTTATTTTAACTCAAGAAAAAAAACTTCGTCGAAAGTTAAAGACAACCAACAAAACATCTCTTGAAACAGAAAGCTAAAACGAACATATTGATGTTAATGTAGGTATCGGTTAGCCTCGGCGATAACGTGAATGATAATGTTAATGTTATCTGATCAGCCCGATAACATCGTGCTGTTGCCGCATAATATATAATGCACAGCAAGTCGATGAAGTAATTGAATACTGTGTTTGATCGAACGTGTGTATATATATTTCACATCTGGTTTAAGGAACAGATGGTGTTCCTCGTGACAACTGTATGAAAAGGAAATCAATACCACTGGCCTTTATGGTCTGTTACAGCGCCGCGCTTAATACACATCGTCTCATTGTATGCAATGACAGTCTTTAAGAATAGGTTTAACGTCGCGTCCAAGATTATTGCACTTATATAGCGACGTGCCTGCACACGTGTGTGTGTGTGTGTGTGTGTGTGTGTGTGTGTGTGTGTGTGTGTGTGGCTGCTTGTACTGGTCGGACTGATGCAGATTTATAGTGCTAGCCCACTGAGATACCATGCCGCAGTTTAACACGAATACCCCACTCAGACACAGTAAACTGACTCGAGCCGACTAGTCCTTATTTTAGCCCCTTAATGCCGAGCGCCAAACAGGGTAACAACAAGTGCCATCTTTTAACGTCTTTTGGTATGACGCGGCCGGGGATCGAACCCGGACCTTCCGCTCTCCGGGCGGACGCTCTACCGCAAGACCACGGAAGCGGTCCTTTAAGAATACAAAGTTAACACTGACATACTTTTATTTTGTTGTTCGAACATACCTGTATGCAGTGGTGTTGCTGATAGTCGTCAAATGATTTATTTATCAAAAATACTTATGCAAAAAACACGGGTGTGGCCAACATCCACGCAGTTATGAAATGTGAATTTTCAAGCGTTTACTTTCTTTTACCCTTGAAGCAGCCTCAAATCAATGCCTTTAAAACTTCACTCTTTAGTGATTTGAGCCCAGGATCAGGTCACTCCCTCTACAAGGCCGAAAACACTCACTCAAAACTCAGGCCACACAGGGCTCAAATCAATCCCCTACATTTTTCATAGTATTCTACTTCCTCTGTTCAGTTTTAGCATACATTGCTGAAGCTTTCATGATCAGATGTTCAAGCCACCTTACCCGAAAAGGTCGTACCTTTTTGTTCAATTATCAACTTACATTCTAATTTGTGAAATTATACAGTCCTCTTTAGTTATTTTTCTTCTGATCATAATAATTATATCAGGGTTAAAGTTCGAGGTATGAACAAAATCAGATGCGTCTATGCAACTGTATATACCCATACAGAATATATGTAAGTTATATTTCTCCTAGTCCTTTTTTAGAATGAATTATATGATTTTGAGTTCATAATACTAAAAGTCAGAGGATATTATAATTGAACACTGTATCCTCTTTACTTAACATGTACATGTTAAATCAACATACTTCGGTCGCGCTTTCCCATTACCTAGTACCATCTGTACTTTCGATCTTCTGCTTCTTGGGCCGGGGATTGAGTTGGGCATACTGCATCGCCAGTATCATACAGAATGACAACCTTCACACTTCACACAATCACTCATTAGTAAAGTGATGTTTTTGCAGGTACTTCTGAATCAATTTCATGGTGATAAAATAACGGTTTTATCACAGATTTAACTGATGAAAATATTTGGCGAGCTGTAGCTATATCACATATGTATTTAGCGAAAAAAATGCAGTTGCACAGAATATTGTTTCTTTATCTAAGAAGTGCCGGAGTAAGGTTTCGATTTCGGAATCTTCTGTTAAGGATAAATTGATAGTGTTATTGATTTATCCATGCACATCCGCACATAATCATGTATACACCTAGTCAACACTGCTGTTCTGCATGGCTATTGATTACAACAAGTCAAGACATTCTGTTGCTTCTCTATTAAGTTGTTCTCACAATTAATTATCTTTTGAAAATCGCCCGATACTCGCTTTCTGTCTTGGCCCCTGCGACTGTATGCTGAACCAAGCAGTTTGGCATCGCGTATATTTTTTTTTTTTTTTTTTTTTTGGGGGGGGGGGGGGGGGGGGGGGCGTGGGGGGTGGACTTTTCATGAAATTTCATGTTCAATCTTCACAAGAAAAACGATTTCCTCAAAAACATTCATGGTCCCTGACCTTTTTCTTCAATATATAATGAATATTCTCAGCAAGTATGTTTAAGTCAGATGTTTGTTCTTACACGTAGTCAAGATCAATGGGAATATATTGTTAGGTCTGTTTTTGATGTTGTTACACCCGATAATCCGGACCTCGACAGTCAGAAAACCCGCCTTCTGTTTGCTTCTCGTCAGCATAAATGTAAACAGGCAATATTCCGTGAACATTGTTCGATAAACCGACATTTCATTATCTGGACGATTTCACTGGGCACAGTACCGTCCGGGTTAATGTTGAGGTGATGAGAGGTGAAATGTGGTTTAACGTTGTGTTCAAGATTAATGCACTTATATACTGCGACGCGCCCGTGTGTGTGTGTGGGTGCGTGTTTGTGTTTGTGGTTGCTTGTACAAGTCCGGACTAATGGCTGCTTTGTAGTGTTAGCCAAATGATCCAGAGTCGAACAGTGCTAGTTTTATCCTTTTAAGGCCGAGCGCCAGGTAGGCTAGCAACAAGTACCATCCGAATTTACCTCTATAACAAAACGCCATTTCAACTTGTTTAACAAGTTTATGTACATACACGTAATTTATAATTTAATTAAGTCTGTAATAATCAAGTTATTTGAAAAAGACAAAACTGTTTTAATGATCGACTGGCATCAAAATGCCAAACTTCTGCTAACACACGAAGCACGCTGAATTAAACGTTTCTTAACCTGGTGTCATCACAAATTTTCAATTCAATTCTTTATTTATGTACGGGAGGCTAGAGGTCCATATACAATACTTATCTAGTATATAAACAATAAGATATGAGGCTGTGACATGCAGAGAATATTAATAAATTAAATCATTATATTGATCACTTTCACTGAGGATAGCGTGTTGTAGTTTATGACATTATTTCATTATTTAGACAGGAGTTGTTGCCTCATATTTAGGGCTTTAGAGACAAATAAATGTAACTTTCAATAGTAGTCTTCTTTTGTGAAGAAAAAGATTTTACAAAAGACAGCAAGAACCATTGTGCAATCTTCTTCCCGAGGCAACGGAGTTAAATGACTATAAACGTCCAGTTTCCACCCTTGCCGAACCAGGCTAGACTTATAGAGTTATGTTTTGGCTGGCCTAACGAACCTATGCACAGTCCAATACAAATCGCGTCATATTCGGTTGGTAAATAACATGCCATGCCATTTCAGTCGATTTGCAGAGCATGTGTACTGGGAGTCTACAGATACTTTCTAAATCTGTTCATGTTGTATTAACTTGCTGAAGTGATTTGATTACAATATAGATCTTAGTCATCGATCATATTGTCTTGACTGGGTGCCGCCATTATTTTTAAAACAAACCCAAGAGATATGAGAGTTAACTTACGATAATCGTCCAGTTTCCACTATTGCCGAAGTAGTCAGGAATTATGGAGTTATATTTTGACTGGCCTAACGGGTGATATGAGTGATACGAGCCGTGTAATCTGTTGGTCAATAGGAGGGACATAGAAGGGCCATAAGACGTAATAGCCACTGGTGTCGCTACAATCGAGCCTGCTTTAACAGTTATCCAGTTATATCACAGCGTGTCAACTTGATATGGGAGGAAAGCCCGAAGTAGATGCAGGTATTTGACGTTTGCTACTTTGGTAAAACCTACGAGTATGGGTATGGTGCTGACAAGCGAAGAAACGTAATGAAGGTGCATATGGGATTCGAACCCACAGTCATACTCGGTTAATAACACGCCTAAGGGACACAACTTTGCACAGCGAGTGTTAGTGCCTTCAGCGACAAGCACTAACACGATGGAAGGTAAAGAAAATGACACCATGAAAGATTGCTAATCGTCTGAACCTTTCAAGGTCAGAAAAGGACTCACATTCACGGTTGACAACGCAGCAATGAAATAGTAGAATCTTACTTCATTTACAAGTCCTTTGTGTTAATTCCTGCTACAGTAAATATCCAAATCCATATAATATTTACGCTGCAAAAAAAGAAATGCAAAAGTGATTTTTGAGGTATATTTTATATTTCATATAAATGATCAACAGATTGTCGGTTTAGAGTCAAGCCCCACTCAGTGACTCACTCATTTCAGAGTCAAATATACAGGTAATAATGGAATTGTCCATATAAATGAATAAATCGGACCGAAGATAGATACTCAGCAAAAGGAAATGGAACAGTGAGTTATATGTATAATATATATATCATATAAATAATCAAGAGATGGTTATGGATTGTTCAAAATTTGCACATATCATTGTCAGTGACCCAGGTTCCATATGGCACAAATGGAACAGTATATTTTCAAGATGAAGTCAACCAAGTTGCACCAAGTCTGTTCTACAAGCGTAGGAGATGGCTGCCCACATCATCACACTGCCACCACCAAACCTGTCAACTTCGCAACCCGAAGCATAAATCGTGACTCATCACTAAACCAAACTTGTCTCCATCCCTGTTGTGGCCATACTCTGTGACCTTAACAACACTGACGTCACACCCGACGATGCAGGTCTGTCAAAATGACACCTCGAACTGGTTGTCTAGCACGAATACCTTCAGCACGTGAAGGGTTCCTCAATATCTATGTTGATATCCTAGGCAGTTCTGTAGTAGTTGTAGAGGTAGTTGTTGAGGTGGCCATGGAGGTTCTTTCACGTAAGTGACGTAGCTGTATGAATCTGTCCTGTGCTCTAGTAGTGATAAGTGGTTGACCGGATCTGGTCGACCGTATGTCTGTTGTAACTGCGCTAGGGCTTTAAGGGACCCTACCCTGTGACGTCATTCTATTGTTTGAACGCTCCATTATTTTTCAGGAATGGAGAGTTGCTTGTCAACTGTACATTATCTTGAAGCAGCATTTGAATTTTTCAAATATTTTCAACTACAGTATATTTTGTCAAAGTGTAAAAGTAGGGATGAGTTTTAAGTAGGGGAATATCCTCGTAACTCTCCATTCCTTAAAAATAATGGGCCTCTGCTCCATTATTTTTAAGGAATGGCGAGTTACTCGGACATTCCCCTCTACGTATTGCCGTTCCGTATCGCCATAGTCAATGTAAGCCATGACTTTACAACTCGCCTGGTCAGGAATGGGTCACCTAAGTCAAGGACTGATTGGTCTATCGGCTGTTACACGGAACTGTCCTCAAATGCATTCATGTACCAGGCCCCAAACACAAGAATTAACACAACACCAGGTTTACACTCACATAAGTTTGAGTCCATTGCTCAAAATAACTTCTAAACAAGACAGGGTAGGCTCGTCACAGAGTGGGAAAACGGAGTGATGGCAATGTGCCTCGGTCAACTGCAAAGCCCGCACTACTCTGCTTGTGTTTGGGGGCACGGGTGGCCCAGTCGTATAAAAGCGCCTCGAGTGGTGTGCAGAGTTGCGTCCCTTGGGCACGCCAGAAACCTATGATTGTGTGTTCAAATCCCGGTTCGCCCCGATTATGTTTCTAGGTTTTCCTAGGGTTCGTGGATTTCACCGAAGTGGTAAACGTCTGAGACCTGCATCACTTCGGGCTTTCCTCCCACATTAAGCTTACAAGCCGTGATATAACTGGAATACTGCTAAAAGCGGCGTTAAACCAAACTCATTCACTCACTCACTCTGCTTATGTTAAAGGTATATTTTTAAAGTGTTCGAGCCCGACCTGTCTTTATCACATGTCCTAATACATCATTCGTTAAGACAACATGCCAGACCATCAATACGCTATTGTGTCGTAATGGCAAATGTCTGAGACTTGCTAACCGATTCGCCGTTTACTGATTCCCTTAATGATCTTATGCATTCTATATATCTATTACTTCTGTCTTTCATATCTCATAAGTCCTCCTAATTTATATATTCTGTATCTACTGATTTATCAACACGCAACTACAGCATCGAAGCAAGCCCACACTAATGTGTTCTAGATCTGACCCCCCTGATTAATTGAATGACAACGACAACTTCAAAACAATCATAATGGTAAATGGGAAATGCCTTTTCACTATTTATTCCCTTTTATGTTTGTGTTACTCCGAGCCTTTCTGTCACAATGTCTCTTTACCCAACCATGACATTGATAAAGTTATCGCGACTGTAATGATCATATCCTTCTTATATTTTTTTAATGGTTTGGGGATGCATTTTAACCTATAACTTGTCTGATAACAGTTTCACATTATTGTAATGGTGCTTGGTGCTACGTGGAAAAAAACTGGCTACAGCTGAAGATGATTCTCCTGTGTCCAGTCGGTTGCATGCGTTGTTGCGTTGGGCTTCCATCAGTCGTGGCATGTTTTCACTGTTCACTTGTAAGATTGTGATGGCATGCAAATGAAAACCCAACATTTTTATTTCCCATCAACTGATGTTGCACATTCATGTCGTCATGATGGTGTGTTTCGGCGCCAAGCTCTCACGTGGTTGTGTTTTCGATCTTTTCACTAAATTCCTGTAGTACCTCATTCTTTCCACACAAACCAATCCCTATCCATGCAGAAATGACCAATTCATTTTTTATGTTACTGCTTTTGCGGGCTTTTTTGCAGAATATATAGATGTAGATCTTTCTACTGCTGATAGAAACGGAAGTTAATGATTCCCTGGTACTCGTTCATACGAGGCACAGGCATTTGAAACATGGAACTGTAAATAGTGTTTACACGTTTTTCCAAATGAAAATCTTTAACAGTAGCTGCCTCAGAAATTGGCACACCTTGAGCATGTCATGTTACTTTCGCTCAAAAAGTCAGTCAGTTCATTATCTCAAGGTATAGGCTGTTCGATATCAGTGTGTTTAACGCTGTACTCAGAAAAATTCAGGCTAAAATAACTGTAAATAAACACGTAGATGTATGGACTAGAAAAGCCAGTGATTGTCATCATGAGCATCGATCTACGCATTTGGACACATTGACATCAACCAAGTCACCTAATCTCACCACCCTTTTAGTCACCTCTTACGGCAAGAATGGGTTGCTGAAGATCAGTTCCAACCAAGATCTTCACGCGTGTCAAAACAGTATTTCATCACATAATCTGAAATTAAAAGACGGTTTTAGCATGATATTTTCACAAATCTTACTTGCCACTGTCCCCATGCAAACACGTTGACTTTCATCAGAAGGACGGATTCATATTTATTCAAGTCTTTATTCAAACGAAAGTTGTTCTTTAGACGTCAGAAGCTTCAAATGTAATATTATGCATGCCGCTAGTAACCTGTCTAAAAGTCCATGTCAAAGGGTTTTGTATTGGTAGCGTCCGACGATTCTTGTCAGTTTTAGTTGCACTGATATAGTGATAGTAGGAGTGAGTTATTTATTATAGATCATCCACAAGTGTTTGATTATTGTATGGTCAAACAGAAGTATTCACAGTTCTGTGTGTTTTCTTATTTGCGATAATTTGTATTTTGAGTACTATAAGAAGTTATTCGCGCATATGAAATGATTATTTACACGTGGAAGGATACTTGTAATGGCTAAAAGGTCGTCTCTCTTACAGTTAACACAAATTGATATGAATTGTTAGAGATGATGACACAGAGTATATTTGGGAAATATAAATAAACCACTCAACACATGGGATGTATGTCTGGGCTGTTATTGTTAATTTCATTTGGGACATAAGGTCCGTTGTGTAGTAATTAAGCATATCCTAATATGTAAGTATGCTACCTCTTCTCAATTATTGACTATCATCATTTATGTGTTCTTTCAAGTTATTGATGCCGCTCTGTTAGCTATTTCTGTAAATCATCATTCTTACCAGGTGAGGGAACGCCAATGGATCTTTGGGACTTTCGAGGATGGCCCCGTATACCACAAAACGAACATCTAGCAGAGCCTCTTATTATGACTCCACACCTCATGAAGCACATGTATCCGCATCCAAAGCTGCTTGTCATCCTCAGGAGCCCTGCTGACAGGTAGGTGTCGGGTGAAGACCCATGAACACCTCTGCCGTTTAGGTGTTACATTAAATCAGGAACACATCTGACAGGTACGTATAACGTAAATTCTCATGACCACTGCTGCCATGTAGGTGTTCCGTTAAGTCAGGAACAATTTTGACAGGTAGGTATCAGGTAAAATCTCACGAACTCTGCTGTCGTTTAGGTGTTACCTTAAATCAGGAACACTGCTGACAGGTAGGTATTGGGTAAACTCTTATGAACCCTGCTGCCGTGTAGGTGCTAGGTTAAATAAGGATCCCCGCTGACAGGTATGCATCAAGTGACGTCAGAACCTTTGCTGACAGTTGACAGAGGCACAGAGTAGCGTCCCCAATGTGTGCAAGGATCCACTGGTGAGTTCGAATTCAAAATTCATCCCGATTATGCTCCTTGGTCTACAAGCACTGCATCATTTAACAAAAATAATTAAGTACTCGGTGACTGAAAGCATGATCAACGATTCATTGGGTAAATATGTTTCCTTAAACCCATAGGTCACAAGGCAAAGGAAAGAGCTTGACCATAGTAATGGTGGTGTCTTTGTAATTCTGGTTCGTGAGCAAACCGCCCTGGTCAATTTAAGGAAGAAGTGATCTACAAATATGAATTGTAAAAGAAATGGATTGTAACAGACAAATGGCTAAAGCCAACGGATAATCTAGGGCATTTGCTATTTGATTTGTTTAACAACCATCAGTGGCCAGTTTGAAGCACTTAAGAAATTAATAGAAAGGTTATCAATGCAGTAACATATCTTCCAAGATGAAAAGAGTTTTTTTAGGAAACAATATATGTGTCTTTCGATCACTTCAGATTATACTCCGACTACTATTTTCTTGGATATGGGAATTCCCCGGAGAGGTTCCACAAAGATGCAATAAGGGCAGTAGCCATGATTGAAAACTGTCAAAAAACAAGGACCACGAAACAGTGTATCTTCGATATGGATATGTACGTCAATTTGCCGGTAAGAACATTTCATGATAATATGAAGACAACTAACATATATTTGATGATTAAGTTTATTATACTGCTACCAACCTGTTATATATACTTAAGTGTGACTTCTCTATTGTTTACATTAACAATCTTCGTTATTCAAATATGGACCAAAACATCGTGACCAGCCTCCTACCAATGGGGATGACAACTTTAACATCTGTATGGTGGCTGTCGGAGCATTCGCCGAACAATGGGTCAAACGAGAAGTGGAACCTGTTTAATGTATTTCAGGGCGGGTTATATCTGTGTGTGATGTTGTCATTGGTAAAATGCACAAACTGAAAAAAGATGAAACAGAATTGGAATAAACCCATTCTCTTCTTACAGCCAGCTATGATCCATAGTCTGGCTGCCCTACCTGAAAAGTTTGTAGGGTTTTTTTTCACTGACGTAATCCAAATAACATAACCGTCGTATGTAAGCATCACTATATTAATTGTGCTATCAACGTACTTGGCATAAGTGACAAACACATACAAGGCAAGTACGCTAACTGCCAAAACCAAGCAACAGTACTATCAACTTTTGAATTGACTCTGAAGCACGAAAACAGCGCCACAAAAAGCTGTACAAAGAGAAATATTGCTGGGTCTAACAAATACACACCATATCCCTGTCTTTAAGATTAACCATAATCTTTAATACCATCAAAGAATGACTTATATACTCACAAGTGACTTCTCTATTGTTGATATTAACAATCTTCGTCAGTTATTCAAATATTGACCAAAACACCGTGACCAGCTTCCTGTACATGTACCAATGAGGATCACAACCTTAACATCAGTATGGTTGCTGTCGGAGCATTAACCAAATAAATGGGTCAAAAGATAAGAGGAACCTACTTAATGTGTTTAAGGGCGGGGTAAGTCAGTGTGCGATGTTGTCATTGGTAAAATGCACACACTGAAAAAGAGAATTGGAATAAACCCATTCTCTTACAGCCATCCGTCATCCGAAGTCTGGCTGCCATACCTGAAGCATCACTATATTAATTGTGTGATCACAGACCTTTGTGTTTTACATACAAATGAGGCCAGTACGCTAACTGCCAAAGCCAAGCATCAGTAGAATCAACTTTTGAATTGACTCTGAAGCCTGAAAGAGCGCCACAAAAAGTTGTAAAGAGAAAGACAAATTGTTGGGTCTAACAAATGCACCACCAAATCCCCGTCTCAATGATTAACAATGATCCTTACTATCATCACAGGAGGACTTTTACTTTAATTCACAAAAAGACATTTCCGAATTACTACCATGTGGATTCTCAAAACTTTAAAGGGTTTGTTGCAGTCTCAGAAAAGAACCAAATTCTAATATGTCAAAACATTTAATATTTCAACTTTTCACCCCACTTTGTTTGCTTGTTTGTTGTTAAACACCGCACTCAGCAATATTCAAGCTATATGACGGCGGTCTGTAAATAATCGAGTCGGGACCAGACAATCCAGTGATTGACCTCATGAACATCGATCTACGCAATTGGGATATGCTGCCATGCATCAACCAAGTCAGCGTGCCTGACCACCCGATCCCGTTAGTCGCCTCTTACGACAAGCAAAGTCGCGATTTACGGCAAGCATTGGTTGCTGAAGACCTATTCTACCCCGGATCTTCAATCCACTATACCACATGACAATCGTAAGGGAAAACTTCGTTCTTTGATCCATGGGGCATTTGTTAAATAAATGCCATGACCATAGATATAGACATATTTATCTTCAGAGGTTCTGGTTAATTTGTCAAACTTAACACAAATGCCTTCTGAAGTTTGCTGAGAAAACAATTTAGCATCCAAAACTGATTCCCACTGGAGATATCGCTTGGGTGAGATAAGCGATATCTACAATGCAGTGAAATTGCATCACAGTGGTTTGCGGAACATTGTGACATCATTGGTTACCATTACGTCACAATCAAACGACATCACTAATGGCTCTGCTGCTGAAGCTGTTAGCAATACTTTTTTACACTTAAGACACTTATTACTGTCTAAAAAACGAAAATGTTGGAAGAATGATGCATGATAAAAAAAATCTCACCCTCGTGTCTTTTGATGTCAAAAGACACTCGGGTGAGATTCTGTATATGTGAAATGCTAGACTTCCTCATTGTGACATGCATGTAAATGTTGGGGTAAGACATTTCGGCAAGCAGCAGGCATCCCCATGGGCACCAGTTGTGCTCCCCTTTTCGCTGATCTCTTTCGTTATGCATATGAATCGGAATTTCTGCTCGGATTGGCAAAGTCTTAACAAAGTAATTTGGCCAAGGAGTTTAACTTGGGCTTCAGGTTTGTCGATTATATGAAAGCGTTTCAATAACCATCATTTACAATGTAGCCAATTTCCTTCCACTGATTTAAGCTGACAGGCCATGATATCATTGGAATACTGCTCAAAGCAACCTTTAACCAAACTCACTCACGACACTGATTTAACCATTAATTTTGAAATAAAGGAGACCAGTGGGATCATCTCGTCTGTTTCATATTGAGATCTATGCATAAAGATGCAGAAGACTGTATGACAAGAGAAATGACTTTCCAATAGTCAACTTTGGGCAATATTCCATCAGTTCAAAAACCTCAACAAGATGATCTTTACTTTTATTTATCCTTTGTTTCAGATGCGAATTCACATTAGCTGCTACTCAGTGTTTATGAAGGAATGGATGAGAGTCTTCCCAAGAGAAAGTTTTCTGGTCCTGCGAAACGAAGACTATGGGCATGATATAAAAAATCATATGAGTATGGTTTTCAGCTTTCTCAATATGAGTAAGTAATGTGTATTTTTTAATGTGTTTTTCATGTTTGCAATTAAACACTTATTGAACAAGAGAACAATAAATACTTCTATTATGAGTAAGAAAGTGAATTTGGTTTGACGCCGTTTGACAGTATCTGAGTTGTACCACATGTCACATGTATATCTTTAACCTCAGCATGCATGGTTTTGATCTTCGCATGAATAGCATTGGCGTCATTTGTAAAGCTCTGATCTTTATCATTGGCGTCTGCATGTATAGCATTGGTGCCTGCACATATAGAATTAACCTATACATGCACATGTTACGCCTCAACCTGTCAAATTCTACATTGATGACATGGACATATATATGGATAGTTTTGATTTCTAAGGCACATAAGTCAGTTCAGTTTATGTAAATATATGAACTTGATATGCATTATTAAACTGTTCCATACAGGTGTTAACCTTATTTAAACACCAACGTGAAGTGGTATAAGACCTGTCACAATCCTTCAGTATTCTGATAACGTGTTTTCTCTTCAAGGTCGGTTACCGGATGAAGATATGGACGTGATATCTAACGCAAAGAGGAAGCACGTGACACAATCCAAGAAGAACAAAGGACCGATGATGGAATCCACACGTGTTTTATTAAACAAGTTCTTTGAGCCATTTAATAAGGAATTAGCGACATTGTTACAAGATGACCGATTCTTATGGAAGGATAATAACTGAAGTTTACTAGGCGAAGTCTGGTGAATTAATACTTTGGCAAATTAACTTAAATTATGTATAATGTGTGCCACAAAAAAATACTGACATGAGCCATGCCATTCCTTCATTTCATCACTGTCATGTTAACAATTAGTGTATGTGCTCATAATATTTAATCACAATAGGCGATGGCCACACTGTCTATGCAAACGAGAATCTACGTGCATTATAATATGAGTGAGTGGGTGGTTGTGTTTTTCTCGTTATATTACAACATGAAGTTTAATCAACACAGTGGATAATATGATCTCGGGTGTTCAAGTCTACTGTTCAAACACATAGGAACCTCAAGTTATAAGGATGTTATAAATATTTGATTTGAATTTTAATCTGTTTCATCACTGACTGACTTGATGTCAAAGATTCTATTTTCAAATTGCCTACGCCCCTTAATCTTTAATTTGAGTTAAGATGACCCACTTTATTATTACACAAGCAGTACTAAGATTGTAAGGGTGGTATTGCTTACGTCGCAGAGTCGTGTACGTATTTCCCTGGGTGCCGTTGTACAAAACAACCTCAGCGCTACGACTGTCGTAATTCTATGTTAAGGTATGGGAGTTACGACCACCTTAGCGCTAAGATCGCTTTGTACAACGGCACCCTGGTTCACAGAAAATGAACAAACTTCGAATGGCAGAACTATAGAATGGACGTACACTGTATATGACTACAAAGTTTCTTGTTTCCACCCCCCTTGGGGATGCTGGAGCAGACAAGGTCCACAGTAACATTTTCAATACGTGTAATCATTCACATTCACAAACTCACAATAACAATGATACTGCCTGGTGTACAAAACAATTGTGACAAATACATTTTGAGGGGAAACACCAAGAAAATGAGAATATACTTAAATGACAGCTCTGTAGTCCTTTCAGCTTTGCCATATTGGTAGTACAATTCTCGAGAGGACTGGAAACGGAACTTGTCAATGTTGCCACAGCTGACAAATACATGTCTCTTCTTTAGGATATTACAAATATTAAGTATTCATCCCTTATTATTATTATTTTTCCGAACATCCTACTCACATCCTTTACATCCCTGAGCTTGTGTTTATTATTCAAGTCTTGTAACTTGACTGAGCTTCATTTCCATTGGGCAAATAGTGTTTGAGAGTGAGAGGGGGGATAGAATTGAATGATCATGTGCCTTTTTGCTATTCATGCTGATGTAAAGTACGCGTACCTCCCGTACTCGTGTTGAATAGTTGCCTATCATGATTCCAGCCATATAAATCCCGATATATTAAATATCTACACATATCTCAGCTCATAAAGTAAAATCAGTATGTCCAACAAAATATGCAAAGGTGAAGTTGTTATTTGAAATTCTTTCAAAAGACTCTTTTACTAGGCTAAATTAGTAACACTTCATTCGTTCACCTTACGTTCAAACTACATGGGCAGACCACTGTGAAGCTCACAATATTACAATATAAATGGCATTGCATTTTTTTTTCATTATAAAATCGATGCTTATTGACCTTTGTTCAGCTGTGTAAATTTGATCAAACTAAAGGCAAGTAAAACAATCAATGTCATTATTGACTTTATTGATAATTATTCTTGGACACCACATGTTGTTTATTCAACATGATTGAATGGCAAGGGAAGTGGAAACACGAATCTCTTGAGGTGACGTACCAACTCACACGTTGCATACTGATTGACTTTTGTAGATATGTAGGGGATTTGTCATTTGAATGTGTTGTGTAACTCAGTGTCGTAACTTTCATGTTGTATGTAATTGGTCTGTGCATCGTGCCTTAACATACTGTTTATGGGTTGACATGTTAATAGACCAGTGAAGATCTGGGGTAGAATAGGTCTTCAGCCACCCATGCTTGCCGTAAAAGTCGATTATGCTTGTCGGTAGAGGCGACTAACGGGATCGGGTGGTCAAGCTCGCTGACTTGTTTGATGATGCATGGCATCCATCCCAATTGCCTGGATCGATGCTCATGATGGCAATCACTAGATTGTCTGGTCCAGACTCGATTATTTACAGAACGTCGTCATATAGCTGGGATATCGCTGAGTGTGGCGTTAAACAGCAAACAAACAAACAAAACATGTTAATATGTCGAGTTACTCGGTGTCGTACCTTTAATACTATATGTAACTGTTTATGCTCGGTCTGTGGACTGCCGTTTTCATTGTTACACATTACATGTCAATACTGACAGACGTTCTAAAACAACCAACTTGAAGAAAGATGTTAGGTGACGTACGTGTGCTATCGATGACAGATGGGAATGCTGAGTTTGAGACAAACGCATTGATAGCATTTATATCAACGGGATTACATAAAACACATTATAATACAGTTCCACTGTCACCAATGGATTCTTAAAGTCAGTTACAATGTACAAAGTTCGTTATATCCAATATGCACTATTTCCATGTGGCAGTAGAGATTGCTGTAGGCATATGTAATTTTGCTGTGTCAGTGGCAGGTGGGATACGGGTGACCCAGTCGTCTAAGGCGCCGCAATTCGCTGTGCAGAGTTGCGTCTCTTTGGCACGCCAGAAACATATGATTGTGTGTTCGAATCCCGGTTCATCCCAATTGTGTTTCTAGGTTTATCAACCCCATAGCTGTGCTCGTTGGTTTCACCAAAGTGGTAAATGTCTGAGACCTACATCACTTCGGGCCTTCTCCAACATTAAGCTGATACGCCGTGATTTTACCGGAATACTTATCAAAGCGGCATCAAACCCAACTCACTCACTCAGTGTCATGACCGTTTCAAGTTATGCGACAATGGCATTATGGAAATTCGTGAATTCATCGACATTACGAACCCATTTCTGGGTTAACCTTCAATTGATTTGGAAATCAACAGAAATTGGTTCGCCAAGAACTGAATTGTGAAATGAGTATAAATGACCATAAAAGAATTTAATGAATAGTTAACAAATCATATTGAAACACACGGTCAAAACAAATGTCAGTGTATTCACGAATGACGAAAAAATCAAATAATCATCAAGACATTGTTTTGAAACACAGCATAATGCTTACAATCACAAAAGGTCATACAATGGGTAAAATAAGTGGCAGCAGTAATATGTAACAGACTCCACACCATATGTCAATGCACTCAGGACGTCCAAAATTTGTCACTGTCCAATGTCTTTAAAGAGGCACTTGCTCCGTTATTGAATCCGGAAACAGTGTTGGGAGCTGTCAAGAAGTCGGTGTTTTCAGATAGATATCTGTCTGCATTCGGCAAGTAGATAAGACACAACCAGATCATATAAGTTCTCAATTCGCCATATTATCGTGCCTTGGTACAAGCAGCTTCTATAGACCAAACAACCAAGGGAGGTAACTCTTATTGACTTGCTCGCAATGTTGCCATCAAACAATCTAGCCACAACAGCCTACTACATTGTGTGAGCGCTTCATATGCTACTTTAAACAACATCTTATGAAATCTCTCGTAAGAAATGTTAATCATCCTTCTTTATACCGAAGCTGTCAGCAGTACTTTTTACACTTAAGATACTGCGTATTATTGTCTACAAACTGAAAAAATGGAAGAATAATGTTGGATGATAAATAAAATCTGACTCGAGTGTCTTTTGATATCAAATATATCAACACGAGTTGATAAAAAGTTTAAAAACCCTCGGCAAGCCTCGGTGTTTTTTCCACTTTTACCAACTCGTGTTGGATATGGCTGAGTGCGGCGTTAAACAGCAAACAAACAAAACATATTAATATGTCGAGTTACTCGGTGTCGTACCTTTAATACTATATGTAACTGTTTATGCTCGGTCTGTGGACTGCCGTTTTCATTGTTACACATTACATGTCAATACTGACAGACGTTCTAAAACAACCAACTTGAAGAAAGATGTTAGGTGACGTACGTGTGCTATCGATGACAGATGGGAATGCTGAGTTTGAGACAAACGCATTGATAGCATTTATATCAACGGGATTACATAAAACACATTATAATACAGTTCCACTGTCACCAATGGATTCTTAAAGTCAGTTACAATGTACAAAGTTCGTTATATCCAATATGCACTATTTCCATGTGGCAGTAGAGATTGCTGTAGGCATATGTAATTTTGCTGTGTCAGTGGCAGGTGGGATACGGGTGACCCAGTCGTCTAAGGCGCCGCAATTCGCTGTGCAGAGTTGCGTCTCTTTGGCACGCTAGAAACATATGATTGTGTGTTCGAATCCCGGTTCATCCCAATTGTGTTTCTAGGTTTATCAACACCATAGCTGTGCTCGTTGGTTTCACCAAAGTGGTAAATGTCTGAGACCTACATCACTTCGGGCTTTCTCACACATTAAGCTGACACGCCGTGATATTACCGGAATACTAATCAAACTGGCATCAAACCCAACTCACTCACTCAGTGTCATGACCGTTTCAAGTTATGCGACAATGGCATTATGGAAATTCGTGAATTCATCGACATTACGAACCCATTTCTGGGTTAACCTTCAATTGATTTGGAAATCAACAGAAATTGGTTCGCCGAGAACTGATTTTAGAAATCAGTAAATGAAAACACAAGAATGATGAATAGTTAACAAATCATATTGAAACACACGGTCAAAACAATTAAATGTCAGTGTATTCACGAATGACGAAAAAATCAAATAATCATCAAGACATTATTTTGAAACACAGCATAATGCCTACAATCACAAAAGGTAATACAATGGGTAAAATAAGTGGCAGCAGTAATATGTAACAGACTCCACACCATATGTCAATGCACTCAAGGACGTCCACAATTTGTCACTGTCCAATGTCTTGAAGGAGGCACTTGCTCCGGAAATAGTGTTGGGAGCTGTCAAGAAGTCGGTGTTTTCAGATAGATATCTGTCTGCATTCGGCAAGAAGGTAAGACGAATTCATATCACAGAAGTCCTTAATTCGCCATATTATCGCTCTGAGGTTCAAGCAGCTTCTAGAAACTGTTACATCAAGAAACCAAACAACCAAGGGTGGCAACTTTTATTGACTTACTCACAATGTTGCCATCAAACAATCTACATTGTAGCCACAACAGCCCATGACATTGTACGCGCGCTTCATTTGCTACTTAAAACAATGTCTTATCCAAATCACTAAGAAATGTTAATCATCCTTCTTTATACCGAAGCTGTCAGCAGTACTTTTTACAATTAAGATACTGCATATTATTGTCTACAAACTGAAAAAAATGGAAGAGGAATGATCTTGGATGATAAATAAAATCCGACTCGTTGATAAAAATTGAAAAAACCCTCGGCAAGCCTCGGTGTTTTTCCCATATACCGTGTTGATATATTTGATATCAAAAGACACACGTGTGAGATTCTCTATATAATGGATGACTGAAAAGTAGTGACATCACTTTCAATGTAAAATACGTCAGGCTTCCCAAGTTGACTCGGGTAACGTTCTGACATGCCTCATGTTCATTTTTTATGATCTGGTGTATAAATTCCTAAATTGCTAACATATATCATTTGTGAATTCTGGCGGGACGATAAATTATTATCCATCCTGACCTGTACGGTTAAAACATCGTACACCTCACAGATCTATCACCAAATGTGCTTATATCTATAGATTAGTACTAAATCCACTTAAATATCACTTAATGACGCCACTGTTCATCGTATTTAAAGGGGCACTGATCTAACGCAATTTCCCGGACTGGTTGTTGCCTTTGTTATTGTTTTTTTCCCCGTGAGTACCCGGATGATACGCAACGCAACTGAGCGTGACCAGAGACTGGGCTACCGTCTGCAAGGACAGCTAAATAAACTTGGAGGCTGGAGGCAATATTTGTTTTACGCATTTTTGCATAAACACTGATTTGTTAACCGTGATCTAAAAAGATTTCGATGTTAATTAATTTCTTCAGCCTAAACTAACAGACAAAAAGAACGGCGGAGCTCATCGGATGTCGTCATTTTGAAATACCCCAGAGGTTATAGTTAACACTAAAAAAAGTATCCATGCAGTGAAAGCATTTTCGGTTTTCGGATTGCGTCGATAATACGATTACTACTCCCTTGTTGTCATCCACGTTTTCTGGTATAACCCTATACTTGTGTATTAGTCGTCATTCACTTGATGCTCAGTTAATGAATTTATTACAGGTACAATTAGTGGTAGCACCACATAGATTACCTGACAAAGGTTCCCATTTGGCATTTATTGTGTCTGGGGTAATTATTCAATCTAAATCCAGGTTTGAAGTGAGGTGAAATGTGTGTTATGTAATATGCACGTGGCAGACCAGCAAGAGGTGAATGATCAGTTGATTTACTTTTTTTTGTAAATCAACGGATCGTTCCTAGTCATCAAAGGATTAACAGAAAATACGTTGATTGATTAATCACTGTATCTTGCACAGTGGATATGTCAAAAGTGAGTGTTTACATGTCTAGGTTTACTAAAACAAAGGGAATACACACATATCCTTGCGTGAAGTGCCGATGTAAAAACAACATACTTTGTTCAAAGGGTGAACTGATAATACGTTCATTGATTGATCATTGTTATCTATCACTCAATGGATTTTTTAGGAACCGTGGACGTTATGAAAATAGTTGTCACGTGGGCTTTCTCAGCTGACCCTTGAGACTTGACACCTATGTGAAACACCTGAAACAATCCAAGTGATCAGTTGAGAAACGAACACGGGTTATAATATCCCGAAACGATATATATCTTTTAAAATATGTGATTGTTGCAGAGACACGTGACATCGAATAGGTTTCTTTGTACAGCTGCAGACGAATGGGATATTGTTCCTTTGTGTGGATATTCACGGATACATTCCTCGAACAAGGAAGCTGCCTAAAATTTATACACATAAATTTGGTAGGTTGTAATTATGGTATTTGCATTTTGTTTTCCTTCATTTGCTGTAGCATTGAACCGATTCGTCCTTGTTTCTCTACGTCTTGGTTGGGAAATTCTTCAATGCGCGATATACGTTGTTTTCACAGGCCTTTTCCCTTGTAAGCGTGTATATATTACCGTCAATTTGTAAAATGTAATTCTCTCAGGCAATTTATAAAATGTGTAAATATTTCAGTCATTTTGACTAAAAAATCTGTCCAGATTGATTAAGGCGATCAAAAGGGCCTACAAACATCACAACAGATTATTATGTAGGATTAGAAGCCAAACAACATAGAAATGTACTTTTCAACGTAACATTTTCAGTCTCTTGGTGATGACAAAATGTTTGGAATTCGTTATCATAATAATACAGATGGAAATGTTTTTCAGTCACTTTGTTAAATAACTGAATATTTAGGCGTTGAATAAATTTGAAAATGTTACAATATTTGACAGTAAAAAATATACACACTATCAAAAAGCAATGCTCAGGTGAAATATTTACTTTGTGTTGCAAGTCAAAATAGTGTAAACGAAAATCGCAAAATTACCAAGCAAGTGACTTATCAAAACTTCGTCACCATTACCGATGCTAACCACAAAGATACCTACATTTCCTTATTATCTCCAAAACTGTATTTCATTTTGTTGATCAATGTGACCATACGCCCTCTATATTACTACCGGGGCGGTCGGGTAGCCTAGTGGTTAAAGCGTTCGCTCGTCACGCCGAAGACCCGGGTTCGATTCCCGACATGGGTACAATGCGTGAAGCCCATTTCTGGTGTCCCCCGCCGTGATATTGCTGGAATATTGCTAAAAGCGGCGTAAAACCATACACACTTACTCACTCACTATATTACTACCCATACAAGTGACTAATGCGCTTACGAATGGCGCAGCAGAGGTCGCGAACTAGTCTAGATTTCTGCTATACATCCGGGTATTCACTGGGAAAAAACAATAACAAAGGCAACAACCAGTCCCGGGGAATTGCGTTAGATCAGTGCCCCTTTAATGCCAACACGTTGCTCAAAGTGAAGCCGTTTTCCTCTAAATTCAGAAGTGTTTGGTCCGTGTTCAGTCCGGCTTGGCAGCTGGCGGTCATAATCAACTAACACGTCACATATGTATCATCAAATATGTTTACATCTATAGACTAGATTTACGTTTACCTAAATACCACTTTAAAGTGTCACAGATCTTGGTATAAAAGCAAACACGTTCCTCAAAGTGAAATCGCTTCCCTCTACATTTTTAAAAAAGGTCTCTGTCAGAAGTGTTTGGTCTGTGTTCTGTCCGACATATTTATAATCTGAACGTGTTTACAGCCAAATTGAGTTACGAATATTAAAATTCATGATTTACATGTTTGTCAGTTTTGCTAAAACATGTGCCTGAAATATGTTGCTTTGCGATGGTTGCAACAGTCATTTCAGACTAATTATTGATTTCATTGCCCTAAGTTATGTCCCCCAAACCCTTTGTAAATTTGATATACCAATTCTTACGAAAGTTACTGTTGACTAGCGAAAGGGTAGGGTGCGGAAAGCCACTATTAAATAAATTCCCAATCTCATTAAAATCAGATATTACTCCCAGTTGCTACACAAAGATCTGAGGACATCCCATCACACGTCACGTCACTGCATAAATGTAATAACCATTAGCAGATCCAATTTTGTTAGTGGCATCTCAACATCGTTGCCCTAAATGATGCAAAACAACTTTTCTTTCCTTTTCACAGAATCATTTGAAACCACTTTGTCCTTAACTCACTATAGACAGTTGTACCAAAATAAGGCTGAAGTGTCATCAAATTATTATTTCATAAGTCAGGTGAGGTACGGAGCCTTGTGGCTCTATTTTTGCAAAAAGGTACATATCTCATGAACGTATTTTAAGCGTTCGTACCCACATAACCTGTCCACGGTGGTAAAACGCAGTTAACATTAATTCGAGAACTTTACGAGGTCTACTGTGTGGCAATCGAGATTGTTAGATTAAATGTGCACAGCTGGTACACGTTTTACACGATCAAAGCATTAAACAGGAGGATTATCTTTGACATAACATCAATACGACTATCTAGAAATGTAACATTTACGGGATTTAGGGTATGTAGGTTCACAAATTTATATAATTATTTCAGAGAGCCCTACCAAACTCTTGTCGACCGATCTCACTCACTTCAAACATGTGCAAAACTGTTGAAGCCATGGTTACAGAAAGGTTCATGCATCACCTTGAAACTGGCAATCACATAAAACCTGAAGCGGCTTCAGGTAGGGACACTCGTGTCTGGATCATGAACTAATACTGGAAAATGAAATTTAAAAAAGCCATGTCACTGGACAATGGCACGCCACAAGGCAACATTAGGAGCCGGACCCTGTTTGACATCATGATGAATTATCAATTTGTTTATGTCAACACTCTTACCCAAAATTCTAACTTCGCTGATGACAGATAGACTAAGAGCAATATGGTTAAAACACAGAGATATTTCACAGATCCGAAAACAAACTCCAGTCAGGCCTGGATGGTGTAGATCAATGGTAAAATAAATTGGGGTTCACCCTTTCAATTGAAAACAAAACATCTGTTGGAGTTCTATTCCAACGCAGGGGGAAGGTGCTATGATACCCCGTCTCTCAATAAAAGGTAAACCAAAAGTCAAATTCGAAAAATCCGCAAAATTTCTTTGGGTGATCCTCGATCAACACATCACTTGAAGCAAACATAAAGAATGTGCAAAAACAGATGTGTGTACGGAAGCTGTCCCACTCTGTGGGTAGATAAATATGTATAGCCGCGGCACAGCCGTCTACGTCAGAAAGTGTGTATCACCATGGCCAGTGTTCACTCGCCAGAACAGCGAGTGGTCAGATTGTGTATTCTTCTCAGTCACTGTGCTTACACAGACAAACATTCTGGGATTTGTGTACAAGATGTTACCACAACAGCTGCATACCTCCAAAATTGTACGGGTATTGAATTTAGACTTATATCACTCAACATTGTGTACCCTCAGGTTGTATTTACAATTTTCGGGGATATGAACGCTCGTATTAGAAAAGAACAGTGTTTTATCGAAGTTGATAGTGTTTGTTATTTACCTATTGATGATCAAGATTATGATACTGATGTTTTTAATGTACCCAGAACGTCTAAAGACGATATTGTAAATATTCAAAGTAAACAATTATTAGATGTGGAATCTAAAAATACATGTTCTTTATGGGGGATCTGGCAAAGATACGCAAGGGGATTACACGTTTATTGGCAGTCAGGGAAATATCGTTTTTGATTATTGCATCGTATCCACTGAAATATATGATTACTTTAGAAATGTTGGGATAACTACCAGAACTTATTGCTGATCACCGCCCTTTGGCGGTCGATACGATTACACAACGTCCCCAGCCCGTGCACAACGCATTCAGTCCAACACAATCCACACCGGCACACATAAAAGGCTGAACACAGTGGTAAGTTTACAGATATTTTGAATCATTCCCTTGACCACTTTTCAAAATAATTTAATGATATTATTAGGAATAACATTAACTTAGCGCTCGCATGTTTCCACGATCTGTTTAAACACTGTTTTGCTACTATAGGGTATTGCTCTACTTGGTATACTGAGCACAATATTCACCACAATATTAGAAACTCGCATTAAATTATGGGTTGCTACACGGCAGTTGTTTTCTGAATCCCAAGCCGGCTTCAGAGAAGACTATAGTACTATAAATCAAATATTCGTACTGAATTGAATAATGCACAATTATATCAGAAAGAAAATAAGCAAATTCTACTGTATCTGTGTCGATTTTAGAAAAGCGTTTAACACGGTATATAGAAATAAGCTTCTCTATACTCTTCTTAATAATGGCTTACCTGACAAATTCAACACTTTTCTTCGAAAAATGTACTGTGACGTAAAAACAGCTGTTTGGTGTAGCAAGTTTTCCATGAGCGAGACCTCTAATTCAATTGTGTGGGTTAGACAAGGCTGTATTCTGTCACCTTTATTGTTTATGTTATACATAGTGAGTGAGTGAGTGAGTGAGTGAGTATGGTTTAAGGCCGCTTTTGGCAATATTCCAGCAATATCACGGCGGAGGACACCAGAAATGGGCTTCACACATTGTACCCATGCCGGGAATCGAACCCGGGTCTTCGGCGTGACGAGCGAACGCTTTAACCAATAGACAGATTTACATAGTAAACGATATTGTAAATAGTTAGTACAGTGGATTTTTTTATTGATGAAGGCGTAAATGCATTATTCATACTTTTATGTGCCGATGATGTTGCCATTTTTGCAGATTGTGTTATTAATTTATAGAAAAGAATTGATATCATGGCAACATATTGTACAAATGAGGACGTACAATAAACACAGATAATACTAAAGTGGTGATATTCAAGAAAGGTGGCAAAGTTGCATAATGTGAAAAATGGTTTATTGGATCCGAAAACTGTCTCTTGTTACAAATACCTAGTAATAACGCTTTCATGCAGAAATACATTCTCCAGAGCATGCGATTTTCTCTGTGGACAAGCAGAAAAGGCTCTATATCCTATCAAGAATTTATTTGCTGATTTTAAACGATATTTGCTGACGCACTATTAAGATATTTGATGGTAAAATTCAACCAATGGTGCTTTATGGCGCAGAAATATCGAACACCATTTACCGATAGAACATAGAAAAGGAACATTCAGTTTTCTGTAAATTTGTTCTCGGTGTGGGCTACTGTTTACCAAACAAGGCTATTCTCTCTGAAATTGGCAGCTGTCCATTACAAATATATGACCAAATAAGAATTACTTCATATTGGATAAGACAACCGTAATCACGTTATTCGACATACTGCTACATCATGTTAAAGTGTTTAGACGATAATGGAGATGTAAACTGGACTTCGTCAGTTCGAGACTTATTATTCAGATACAGATTTCCCTACGTTTGGATTTCTCAAGATATTGGAAACCAAGAACTATTTTTGTCTCTTTTTAAACAACGTTGCAAAGACATTGACTATCACTATTAATTTAAATATTCAACTGCTTAGAAGGTCAAAAATTAATTATATTAGTATAGCTATGTGCCAGTATAGTTTAAACTTGCAAGAAGACGAATTTCATATTTTATTTGAATGTCCTTTGTATGCAGAAGAAATATATTCCTAATTTCTATATCAGTAACCCAAACCAACAAAATGTTGTACATCTTTTTAAAACCAAAAATACAAACATAATGTTACGACTCGCTCTTTTTTAAATAACGTGTCAAAAGAAAAATGTAAATTGTCTACAACTGTATAGAATTGTATATAACCGATCCTAACAGGCGCTCTGTACATACATGTTGTAAAACTGTCACTGTACTATTGGCCTCATGACCAAAAGATACGAATACACGGATTAAAGATCGAACGTATTGAGGGCAATTTCAGGCACATCTTGGTGTATCTTTATCAGATCACAAATAGGCAATGGTTAAGGTGTGAGGCCTTTCACTCATCAAACACTTGAGACTCTTTGACAGAATACAATACAAAGCCCTAATACTGACCACAGGTGCAGCAACAGGTACATTGTACTTCAGTACAAGCACTACAAGTAGAAATAGGAGAACTCTATTGAAACAAAGAAGAGACCAGACAATATTATCGTCCTGGGGACGAACATCAAACCCGTTGGTGAAAAAGTTATGGCAAAACAAAAACACACGAGATGAAGCCCTAGCTCTGAAAATCCTCAACTAAGCTATCTGGTATATTAGAACGTGAACTCATCCGAAGTCACAATTGTGATGACATTCAGCAACCAGAATGTTACACCCTACCTGGACTTAGAAAAGTTGACACTGCTTTAACATCAGAAGTCATCAAAATAGAATACCCGACCCTACTACGAATAGTTGCTATCACTAAAATTCAAACTATCTTTGACAACTGGGCCCCTATCAAAAACACTGCTGGTTACGGAATCCATGTCCAACCCCAAGCCAAGCACATTTGGTTCCCCTGTCAGTCAGTATTCACTCCTTAAGGATGCACTCAAACTCATTCCGGATCTACCGGAAGCAAACTTGACTGTCATCCTATCAGCCAAAGCACTACATGCTTTCAGCCAATAGTACTCTATAGGAATGTTAAAAACTATCGGACAAAGAGCAACAGGTGGCACTGTGTTGGGTCCCGTCTCACATAGATATTCATGAAAATAAAATTTAAAAAACAGACACACTGGTTGAGCTAGCTCTAGACAAAGCGGAGATATAACCTGGAGATATTGCAAAATCAAAGCATCCATAGTTTGAATCCATTGCTCACTCGGTTAAAACAAGAATTTCAGTTAGATCCGCTAATTGTCGTCGATCTCCTAAAGCCAAAAGATACAATGGCGACGGCCAAACTAACGGCCAGATGGACAGCTGCTCCTAATTATATGAACAAAGCCGCCAAAGATAAAAAAAAATGAAATTATATCAATATACGAAAACAGACATCTTTTCAATACAAAAACAGAATTTCTTTCAATACTTAAACTCACAAACATGAGTACCAAAGAGGGACAGGTCAGCTGAAATGGCTGAGGCAGAAGGCGACCTCTTGAACTCTTAAAGCATATGCAACGACAACCACGACACCGCCTTAAGTACATTTGCAGGGGAGACGCGTGCGTTTGCCCTCGTCGTCAAAGGCGGCGTAATTGTCTGTGAAGAAATGCATCCTTACCCATGACAGGATTCGCCGATCATAGGTTCGTATCCTTATCCTAAGTATTTTAACACCCCATCCGTGCTCGCATATGCTCATTCTGTGCGAAAGCTGATAGTTGACAGCCGCGATATAACTCGAATACTGTTCAAAGAAGACTCTGAATCAAGATCAATCAAACATATTGTTGTTATTATGTTCAGATATTTGTTTAGAGAGGTTTATTGACCAGATATCGTTATTATTTATTAGTGCATAATGAACTAGTGGTAATTAGAGCCAATTATTCTATTCATTATTCAGCCATCAATAGGGAGAGAGGGTACTTAATTAGACTGAAATCTAATTCTCATTGGTACAGCGTTTCTCAAATATAGTCCTTCTCTTGTGATATGGAACGCTATATTCAAGTTATTTTAGCTTCATGTGAATGTTTTATTACAGTTTCGTTTACTTCAAATTGGACATAACTGTGTCAAGTAATTGACGAGCTATCAAACAGTGGTAATGTTGCAACAGATGCCTGATCTGGGTTTACCTTTATTGGTCTGTTGTCATGGATGATATATTTCCTCCCATATTAAACAAGGCCACATTAGACGAAAATTCGATCAAAGAGTTTGATCTCTCGAAAATGACACTTTATGGCTGACATTATTGACTGTCGTAAGAAACACGTTTTCAAAAGCTGCAGTCAAATGAACTGAAAGCATACATATAACGCTCTGAAGGACCATATGACATTTAGGCTAGTATGCTTCTGAACGTAATTTCTCATTCACTACATATTCCAATATTGTGTTTATGTGATTCATTTGTAAAGCTATATCAACGGCCACATCCTCGACTTTTGTAGACGTGGAACCAACATGTCCGTCCTGTATTATGAACTGCATTTTATATACCTTGTCATTTATCTGGTGTTAGAGGTGTGTCACTGTGTGGGAACCATTTACATCAATTTGGTGCACTGGCCAGATAGATGGTTAAGCTATATTTACCCACTGCAAAAAGAAACGCGAATACGTACCATACTTGTTGGTTAAAAGATGAAGACTTACACATAATCAAGATATATTAGATTGGCTCTATGACTCGAGATGCACCATTTTGTCTTGTGCAGGATTAACGTGTAAATTATGGAAATCTCGTGCAGCATCTCATGATAAGAATAAAGACACTAGATATGTGGTAGCACTTAGTTTTGTCATTAACTGTTACACATTTGACACATCTCTTCTTAACGTACATACTTCTCTATGTTTCTATGGATTTTGTTTATTTTAGCGGGGAGTATATTTGCAAATCATTTCTCTTTTTTCTAATACACCATAAAATGAAGGACACAAAAACTCGTTTGCCCTGTGTTAAGTGATATCCTTTTCATTGATTGTTGTGGCCTGTATATTTTTACAAATGTGTTACGGCTCATAAAGCTATATAGTTCAGAAGACACACTTCAGTATTCACTGCAAGAAACCCCTACTTGATGAGACTGTGAGTAACAACCAAAATCGCTTTCATAAATTGTAGCTGGTAAATGTTTAATGATCAAATTTCGTACTTTGGTGTCTTTACGTTCCACCATCCACATTGCAATTGTTTCATAAAAAAGTGTTTGAAGTACACTTGACAAACAGAGAAACATAATCCTGGCGAACCGAGTGCCCGGGGGGCGCAACTCTGCTCAGCGAATTGCGGCACCTTAGACGACGAGGCCACCCGTGACACTCCATCAAAATGCCATCTGATTG